TACTTAATTCTATATCTATATCTATTTCTATTTTCATATTTCTATCTATCTGTATTTACACACACACACATATGACTAAAACCACAAATGCACTGGAAAACATATAAAACATTTAAAAGTGAAGCATGTCTGAAAGTCAGGAAGCAGATGAGAACAGACATTAAGTGAAACCAAATACAGCAGATACAGAAGCTAACAATACAGTTAATAGAAGTATCTGTGAAAGAGCACTTTGAGGAGCTCCTGACCCAAATCCACAGGCATGGAAAACTGCAGTTCCCACACCCGTGCAAATGACAGCAAACACAGAATGCTACTTTGATTCAAACACATCGGACGTGCAGCTACATTTTCCTTCCTCTCAGTCGGCTTGCCAGCATTCACCAGTGACTTCAGTTCCTTCACTTTTCTATACCTGAGAAACTAAGTTTAAGTGTGCCCTTATTTGGGGACCATTTTCTGGCTTGACCCTTTTCTCTTATATCAACAAATAAGATGATGAATATGAAGGTGCTTTATAAACTATGACATATAATGAAAATGTTACTTTTGTTACCTTCTACCATCACCCCTGCCACCACTGCCACTGCCATCACCACCACCATGACGACCATCACCACCATCATCACCTATCCCTTTTATTCAACTGGCCAGGTCTACTTGGATTTTCTCTCTTTGTCTCCTTTAAATCTTGACTGATTCTGACCTCTGGACACTCCTTGGCCTTAACCTAGAATCAAAGACGCTCAGATATGAAAGCAGCTCATACTAACCACTCACCTCTTGAGTCCTCCTGTATACTTGTCCCCATTGAACCCAGCGCAATAACAAAGAACTCATTACTTCCCAAAGTATCTGCTTCATCATTGGACATCTATATTGATCAGAAAATACCTCTTTGCTTCAAGGCTCAAAGACACTGCTTATAAGCATCAAACCTCCTTTATTTTACATCTTCCAATGAAATTAATAAGATTGAAGGGGATAGGGTACAGCTTAAGTGGTAGAGTGTATGCTTAGCATGCACGAGGTCCTGGGTTCAATCCCCAGTATCTCCACTAAAAATAAACAAACCAATAATAAACAAACAAACAAACCTAATTACCCCTCCCAAATTTAATAAAACTATCTTAAAAAAAGAAATTAATAAGATTGAGAAGGTCAAGCAGGGCCAGAGTAGGTTCTACAGGAAAGGAAGAAAGGAGAATCTAGTGGTCTGGTAATTATCTGGCCATAGTCTTATTTTGGGGAAGTAAAACAAATTTAAAGTTTTCTACGGAATTCAGCCCAACTTAATGGTAGGAGTCAAGCTACAATCAGGAATAGAGTGTATTTCTATTAGGAAATCCCACATATGACATCTCCTTGGAAACTCTAAGCATTACAGCAGTTGAGAATCATATAGGTGGTACCATCTGATGAGAGGGAATGAAATCTCAACACTCAAGAAACTGATTAAAGTATTCATCAATATTCCTTTTATAATAATCTCCTTTCAGAAACCAGTATTAATTTGTTCTACTGGGATTATTTTTTTAATCTCCAAACATGTATTTCTCATTTCATGACAAGCCTCCTGTTTCTTCCATGCCCACATGTCTTATATTAATCTTTAAGTTTCTATTTCTATTTCCTTCTGTTGTTGTATCATCAATAAAGGTTAATGAAATTATTCCAATTATTTTATTAGAGAGTCCCTTTTGCCAGTGATAATACATTAAATAACTGAGATTGTGTTCTTTTCATTTTTAGTTTCATGGATGGGTTTTGGGGTGTTGTCCATGAAACTTCTGATAGTATAAGGCTCAATTTTGTCTATAAATGCACTTCTCTCCATAGCTTTCATTCAATTCTGAAAGAGTTTATGTCTCCAGAATACTAAAAATCACTGCTTTAGAGGGAGAATGTGTGGTGTGAATCCTCAAAATTAAAAATCCTCTGTATTTTTCTATTACGAATTCATGAATTCATGTGACCGTTTTTCAAGATTCAAATGCTTTTGGACCATTAGAAATCATTCACAGTCTTCTTTATTATGGAGATCATATACCTCTAAGTGCATTTTCAATGTATCAAGGGATATTCTGATTTACCTAAGTAATTTTTTTTACAGAAAAAAGTATACGATATTGCTAAAAGAGTCCTGAATAGAATCAGATGATTCTGCTCTGAGCCCAGTTTTTGCTTTGACTGGCTTACATGACCTTGAGCAAAGTATGAATGAAAAGACTGGCTTGATGGAGTCCATTGCATGATGTGTGTTCATGTGGAGATTTCACTCAGGATCTCTGAAAGAATGAGACTGAGACTTCCCAGTGAGGGAAGGACAATCTGTCACCTCTGTCATCAGGTGCTTATTTCACTGATCATTGTCCAAATACTATTATCCTATCATGTTCCGATTTGTATGTCCAGCTGTGCCTCTTTCTCTGAATTTTTCAACAATAAGTTGAAATAGCATGATTCATTATTACTGTTTTCCTTACATTCAGGCAGTTGCTTGAGAAATTTAATGTCTCGCCTGTCTCAAAATTTTCCAAACTATCTGTGACTTTAGGGTTGAGACAAAGATGGACCTGATAGCACTGAAGTTTGGAACTATCCAGAAAGTTCTAACGCACAACTGCTACTGTGTATTTAACAGTTGTTCAGCTAGTTTCTGTCATCTTCACTTTCTTAATCACATTTAAACTATAAGGCATAAAATATAGAATTTATTATTTTTATGTTTTTAAGTTCTTATAGCGATCTCACGTAATTTTTTTCATGAGTGAGTCAACTTGGTGAAGTACAAATTTTAGGATCTCTGAAGACAAACCTGGGTTCTAACCTGGCTCTATTCTTTCTAGCTTTGAGCCCTGGCCCATTGGTCTTTCTGAGATTTAATTTTTCTTTTTTTGAAAACATAGTAGGGACACAATAAATGTTAATCATTAGTTTATCAACCTTAGAATGCTGTATACGCCAAGTCTGGAAAATGGATCACTATACAAATATTATCTTCACAAGGAAAGCTGCAAAACAGGTGAAGCTCTCTAGTTGAGGTCTGTTGTGTTATCATTAACAGTTAGCACCATGCCTGGCATACAGGAAGCCTTCCATAGACACTGGTTGAGTTAATTAATCAGTTATTATACGGTGAGTATCTTACAAGTCTCACTGACTTCAGGCTTTCAAATTCTACCACCCTTTCCATTTGATATATTTGTATGTAGAGAACTGCTCTTCCACCAGGACTACACCTAGTCCCAAATTACTAACTACTCAGGGAGGAAACCAAGGAGGGCTCTGCTCAGCATTATTGCTCTCTCACTATCACTCTGTTTTCCCAATACTTCCTTCTGTTCCCTAATCAAAGCCTACTGCTTCCACTGCTATTAACACCATGATATTTCATACCTCGCTAATAACACTTTTTAATCATTGCAAATCTGACAGCAAAAATATAGAAATTTATAGTTATTTTAATGAGCACTTCTTTAGTGCAAATACAATGGGACATACTTCATTGGCTTTAGTATTTTCAGTGAACTAACTGTTGATGTACTTAACTCATTTTTTAAATGTTCAATCGTTTGCCCTTTCCTTATTCATTTGTTACATTAATTTATTCTAATCTGTTCCTTTTGAGATAGATCAAGATGTGATTAAGAAGAGCCACGTATGACTCAAAGGAGTGACAGGCTAGTTACCACTTTCCCATTTAGAAAATGAGAAGTTGGCTCCTGGCCTCTCAGCTCCCTTGCTTAAGACAGGTATCTCCTTGTTCTTTGTCTGTCTGCCACCAGCCTCAGCTCTCCTGGAGACTCATGACTCTCTTCATTTTATAGTCATGGTAGCATATACCAATACACATTAAATATTTTGGAATTTACAAAAATATTTGCAAAAGCCAAAACTAAGGAATGGGAAACTGACTGAACAATCTTATATAACCACAAATCATCATTTTGGGTGATTACAGTGGTATTTCAGGCTTCAGTGAAGCTACTTCCCTTGCTGGTCACTAAATATCCTAAGAGCAAAAATGATAAATGTCACAGAAAAATGTCATGAATTATATTACAAGGTTTGGACGATTTTACGAGGTAAAATATGAGTGGCCAGTGGTCACATACTCATGTTTTGTAAAAAAGGATCATTTTACAGACAGGCTTAAATTTTTTTGTTGTAAAAATGTCAATTTTAGCTTTTCTTTTTTAAATGAGAAAATAAGAGACTTTTATTTCTTGATATTTACTTGGAATTTTGTACCCAGTATTTATGCAATGCATGAAGAGCTTATTAAACCAGAAGGTAAATAAAGGAAATTGAGAAACTGAGTTCAAAACTGACATCTGAGCCTTGTTTACTGGACAAAAATAATTTCTAAGCAAGATCTACTTTATACCCTTGAATCTCTTAAGTGTGCTTAATGCCATACGATGTTTGAGATGTTTCTGCACAATTAATGTCAATTGATCCTTGTTTCATATTTTCCTTCCAATAATAGGTAATTAAACAAAGTCAGAGTTTAAAGGACTAAAACATGACAGACATAAAACTAACAATAATATAATAATAATGGCCTACTTTATAGAGCAATTACTATATTTCAGGTATTGTGATGAGGGTTTTCTATCTAATATCTCATTTAATCCTCACAGTAGCCATAGTAGGTAGGCATAACATTATTCCTTTTACTCTCTTTACAGAGTTTAGCTAGTAGATGTCAGAGTGATTTTAACCCAAGCAGACTCATTCCAGAACCCTCATATACTTTTAATCATGATACTATACATTCTACTTCCCAGAATATATTTACTAAGATTTTTCCCCCTTCCTTTTCTTCTCTCACTTCACTACATTTTTTTTTATTCTTTTGCCACTAATGCTGAGAAAAACAAAAACACAAAACATAACCCCACAGTTAGGATTAGGATTAGGGATTTATCCTTTTCTCCATTAGCAGAATTAACTGGAATCGGGGACACGGTGGGCAGATTCTTCCAACTACTTACAAGATCCAAGGCGGCTGCCAAGATAGATGCATCAGGAATTGTCCCTGGCTCACAGCAGTTTAACAGAAATTGAAAGCGCTTCATGCCTTGTCGAATTGCTCCAAGATTCACCACATTTTTGCTTTTTCCGCCATCTTGGTTGGAAGACAGATGGTCATCGAAACTGTGGCAACCTGCAGGGGTTTTCCCGTGGTGGAGGAATGAAGGAGAGAGAGTATAATGGTTATAAATTAAAAACAGAGCTTTGAAGTTTTAACAATGCATTTTCTGTACTGTTGGCCTGAGAACATTTTCCTGGACCACATCTCCCTCCTCTCTAGCTAATGCTTGATTTGGACACATCTTGACTTTTAGGAATCTGGTGACACATAGTATATGTAAATTTGGGGTTTTATACAACTATTTAAATATAGGGTCTGATCATTTTGCCACCAGATCTCCTCTCTAATATTGCTAAGAGGATTATTTAAAATAATTCTTCCAGTAATCAACAACTAACTTGTTTTTATGGAAGATGCAAAAATCACTGTGCAATTAAGGATTTGTTACAGAAAAGTTGATATCAAAGATAATATCTTGATAATTTAGCTACAATGCAAAGAATCACTGACTATTAGAGTTGTAAAGGACTTGAGAGGTTGCTCATTTAATTCTAGGATCTCCAAACATGGCTGTTTATCAGAATTATCTGGGAAGTTCCTGAATCTTATTCAGAACTTCAGAAGCAGGGTCTCTGGAAGAGGAATGTAAGATTTTGCACTTTGTAAATCTTCACAGATGATAATGATGCCACCAGCCTGACCCCACATAGGGGTCAGAGGTTTGGGAACCGCTGACCCATCCTCACTTACTTTTCCATAGTTAAGCTACCTACGAATGAGAATCAGTCACTAGCTCAAGAAGGAGCTTCTTAACATGCAGAATATCAGGTCCCATTGCTAGAGATTTTGATTCCATAGGTCTGGGGGCGATGTATATTTTTAACAAACATGCCACATGATTTTAATACAGAAAGTCTAAGGATCACACATTAAGGAAGAATAATACAAAGCATTGTTTTTCATTTTTTTTTTTTAATCCCCAGGTACTTTTAAGAAAGCCTAAATATCTCATGGCTTTTCTATAGCTTCTAGTATATATATATTTATAAATGTGTGTGTGTGTGTGTGTGCATATATATATATATATATATATATATAGTGCTTCTAGTGTGTGTGTGTGTGTGTGTAAGTGTGTATAATTTGTATAAGATAATAATATTGAATATAGTTTTTTTTAAAACCAAGCTCAAATTACTTCCCATGATTCTGAAATGTACCTCCAACACCTAAGAATATACTCCCAGGTTGCTGATTTAGTGTTTGGTTTAATCTGCGCTGATGCCATTTATTTGCAATGCTACCAACTCCTGGTCCTCACTAGGTTACAGATCCCATTACAGGAAATGAATCTCTCCCCTCTTTTGTCAAGAATACCCTATCCCTCCCACCCACTGCCCCATTTGCCCACCTGCCACTTAGCACAAAGGTGGCTCTTGTAACTGTTGCTCTCAACTGAGGTGCCCTACACACCAGTGTGTCACCACTGGTGGTTGCAGGATGTACGGTGAATAATTTATCCCTGTTAATAAACACTAATGTTTGCAAATTTGCATTTAAAAATCAAATCCAGAGTTGGAGTTACCCCTTTAATAATCTGCATTCATCGTAGATAAAAGGGCCATATTTACAGTTATGAGCTTGAGTTACCAAGAGAGTATGTCCCACCCAAGGGATGGCGGCCAACAGATTTACTAGTGGAAAAAAGTGGGCACCTGTTCTTTTAGAAAACACATCCTTTGGAAGTAGTTCAAGCTGGGGGAACAGATTCCTTTCGACTTTATTACCACAAGATAAAAAAATATGGCATGACACACAATTACCAATTCCTGGTCAACAACTTTCAAAATGTCACAGTATCGTACCGAAGTATGTAGGTGTGAAATGATGTGGTGTCTGGAATTTGTTCTAAAACACATTGCAAAAATAAAAGATGAAGCAAATTGTAAAATTTTTTATCATTATTTCAAGTGGGTGACGGATACTTGGGATCTATTGGAAAATTCTTTTTACTTTTTGTCCATGTTTGAAAATTTTCATAAGAATACAAAATGGCTCAGAAAATAATTAAAATATCATTATCAACATTTCCCACATTTCATTCCGTATGGGTATGTTTTCTTTTCAGGTACAAATATTCCATATTGAAAATTCTATGTTCAGCACCCTCAGTATTTTTTTTTTCAGTTATTGTATCAAATGCAAAAAAGGAAGTAGCTCAAGAAGAATCTGAAGATGGAAAAAATTCCAAAGACAGAATTTCAAATGATACAAAGAAGGCATAGAAGCTATAGATTAGGAACAAATATTTCCTGGACAATACAGTATTTACTCACTGGACATTACCAAAGCTATGAGAACAGGCAACTTCCTATTATTTTTCCTATCTATGTATCACTTCATTAATCATTTATATACAGCCCTTTAATACATACACATATCACAGGAAATATCATCCATTAAATAAAATTATAGCCTTAAGTCTTTAAACTTAAACTTAAACTTTGAATTTGATAGATCCCAAATAATAAGATTTTTGTTTTTAGTGAATCCACTCATTTCATTATTTCCTACTATAATTAAGATGCATCAAGTGGTAACTCTCAAATTTGTAATAGAACTAATACATAAGACAGGATGGATGGTCAAAAAATTATTCTAATTTAACCAATTTATTAAAAAACAGTTGTCATCATTTTATTAAAAGAAGCATTAAGAGTAAGTGTCCCACATCTTTTTAAATATTTTTTGACAAGATAATTAATTCTAAAAGAAATATATTCAATATCACCAAAGAAAGTGCCATTTTGATCAAAAGAACTTCAGAAAGAACGCAGCTAAGGATGATGACCAAAATAGTGAAGAGAGAAGTGATCAAAACAACTTTTGTCAGCAAGAACCTATTCTATGAAGAGCCCTTCACAGAATGATGTACCCTTATGACAGATAAGAAGATCAGTGGAACCCTGTGAGCCCAGGACATAGGATCATGCCATAGGGAAAAGCTATTTACAATGGAAAATTTCCATTGTACCCGTAAAGCAGTAATAGATAACAATATATTTGCTAACTTTTTGAGCAGTTTTGCATTTCGTGTTGTAATACTAAAAGAAATGTTATAAAGTAATTTGCCTATAAAATGTACCTCTTCTTTGTCTATCTTCTATATAAACTTACAAGAATGTAAGGATGCCTCTTGGCTTCCTTGGCTATCATTAATTTTTTAGTCTCAGCATGGTTTAGTTGCATTTATTTACTGGGTTTTTTTTTTTAACATTAAATTTACTGAGGTATAATTTACATAGAATGCATTTTTAAAAAGCTGTTAAATCTCCAAAGCGTCATTTCAAGATGAAGTATTTCTTTAAGCAGCATTTCCCATAGAGCTCACGGCAGAGCTGAGCACAAAGAAGATATTCAGTAAAGTTTGCTGATTAGTTGAGAAGAAATCCACCACTTTAATTAATGAAATATCATCCATGATTTCTATAATAAAATATTCTTAATGAATGGGGAAACAGAAGAAAAAGATAGCTGTTCTCTGAATGTAATTTCAGTTCTGCTAAATATTCAGCAGATGTATTTTTCATTTGTTGAATAATTTTTTAGGTTAAAAAATTCTATCAGCTATTGCATTTTATCTTAGTTCAATGAAGTTTGGGTACTGCATTTAAATTGAAAACCTTTGATATTTGTTTTCTTTAACAGCTTTAAATCAAGAAACAGGCAATATGCAATTAAATGAAAATCATTTGAATAAGAAAGAAAAGGACAATGTACCTATAATGGTTGCACAGAGACCATTTAGTCACAGATTGTAAAGTAAAACAGAAAGAAAGAAAAAACAAAATTAGGCTCAAAGTTAAAAAGGTGTTCACATGGTCAAGGATGGTAGTTGTTGCAAAACACAATGTACTTAGATTAGCACATAATGTTGTTTTGGTTCTTTATAATAGCTAAGGATACCTGTCTTCTGTGAGAGATTCCAAAAGAACTGTCTCACAGACTACTCTTTGTAATTTTTAACAAGCCAGAAAACAAGGACAAAGAATGATGACGTCAAGCCATATTCTTTTGCAAGTCAAAAGCACATAAAATATTCCAGAATCAGTCCCAGATTTTATCATTTTGGCTTCTAGACAAACAGGAAGAGACTGTCTGTATTGCCGATTGTTGATACAAACTCACCCTAGACTCAGGCTTTATGAATGTTCTGTATCAGGTCTTTTCTATTTGTGAAGGGAATATAAAGAGCATGTGAAACAGTGGCTGAAATCTGTAAGAATGGTGGTAAGAAAAACACAAAATCCAGAATGAACTAAGGTGTGTGAGAAATACTAATGATAACATGTTTGGAACAAGAGTAAGAGTAAAAATACTGGCTTTTTACCTGAAGAAAGGAATGTAAGGAAGTCAAAAGGAAAGTCAACAACTCAATTATGCTTTCATCCTTTCTACTAAGGAGAGAAATTCACAAATGGGAAAGTACAGAAAGATTCATTATGAAGCCACCAAAGAATACTGGCAGTTTTGAACACTAGATGTATCCTCTCTGAAATATCATGAGTGGAAAGAGTGCAAGAGGACTGAAAATGACAAAGATCCTGATTGCTAGGAAGATTCTCGAAACCACAGAATAATTAGCTTAATGTGTGCCCTAGCCCAATTCTATAAGAGAGAATTACATAGAGAGGAACAATTAAAAAAAAAAAGAAAAGAAAAGAAAAACACAGAAGTAATCATAGGAACCCTTGTAGTATCAAGAAGACATCTTGTTGAACTAAGTTACATGCCTCCTTTTGACAGAGTTATAAAGATACCAGTGAAATATTTTGGTAAAGTCAGATGATGTTTTTGTAACGAGGTTGGAAAGTACCTGCCGATCACTAGTAAATTAAGTGTGTGATTGGCTGAAAAACTGTACCCACAAATTGTTAATCAATATAAGTCAACTAGATGTGTTCTAGGAGCTATTTCTTTGGATTTGTCCTGTTTAGTAGTAATGTCAACAACTTGGATGAGAATAGGGAAATGTGTATATCTCTGCTGATGTATCTTTATAGCACAATGGTAGAGGAGAAAAGATTCAGAATTCAACTTGTTTTGGGTTCTTGCTCTTAACTTCCTCCCTGGGCAAGTCACAACCACCGGCAAGTTAATGAAACAATACATTTTATGTATTTTGAGATGAAGAATTAATAATGGCTATTTCAAAGTGATGCATGATATTCATTCATGTGAAGGACATCTAGCAAAAGTCTGTCCAAAATTCAATACAAATCAACTATGTGATGTGAAAATAGATAATGCAGTCTTAAATTGTGTTCATCCACTGGCTATATCCCTGGAGCTTAACAGTTACACTATCTACTACACTGATTAAAGTCAAAATGGTATACTGCATTCCATCTGAGGCATCATATTTTGTAAAGCACATTATCTAACTAGAATACATGTAAAATGGAATCCAAATGGTGATGGACCTAGAGACTCTTCTATGTAAGAAAAACAAAAGGAATCAACAATATTTACCCAGCAGGTGAGGTGAAAAGAGAGAAGGTGAAATGGATAATAGGTGAAACTACCATTATGTGTGTATGAGTGTGTGTGTGTGTGTGTGTGTGCGCACACACACACGCGCGTGAACAGATATCACTGCTAGGACTAGTGAGTCAAATTTATGGATAAGTATATTTTCAGAACATGAGGAAAGACTTTCTAACAATGACAGCTGTCTAGTTGCTTTGTAAAGTAATAAACTCCCCCTCAGTGGAAGTGTTCAGAGGGTGGCTGGCCACCTGTCAGGGATAAAATTTATGTGCAGAATTCCTAAGTAGATAGGTGGGTGGATAAAAGGATATATGAAGGTTCTTTACTCTCAGATTTTAACAAAGGATAGAATGGCAGAAGAAGAGGCTGTGTCTTATTCTTGGTAAACCCAGGGCCCACCAGGGAGTGAGGAACCCAGTAGGACTTCCATAAATGTCTGTTGAACCAAATTGATAACAAGCAGAGAAGCTATAAATAGTAGTAAAAACAACACACATATGAGGAAGAAATGAATAAGAAATCAATGGAAATAGAAAATGGATCATTTTATCTCATTAAATGTTTGTTCTGTGTAATGAAAAGTTAGATGTAATTCTTAGGCCAAGTGACATTTACCAATTGAACGCTTGAAGAAGTTGTCCTCCTCGTCTCTTCCGTTTTCCATTCCGCTCCCTGGCCCCCCTTCAGAAAGCTTCACAGCACTGGTGAATTTGACCTGAGAAAAAAAGGGAAGCGATCACATAATTCAATTCAAAGGAAATTCTTTGTGTTTATACTAACTTTCACCTTGAAAAATAAGTTGTTTAGAATATGAAGTTCCCTTCATTTCTTCTGACTTCTACACCTGGTTAGCTAGTCTGGATAGTTTATTCCCATGTGCCAAAAAAGATATCACTTAATAACTACATTTTGAAGAGAGTCTTGGTCACAGATTCAAAGTGAAATAATCAGGCACAATTTCATGAACAATTGAGATATTCTTAGGGTTCAATTCTGATAAAGTCCAAACTCAAATTTATGAACAACAACTCATATGCAATCTTTACAAACAATACCACAACTGAGAATCAAATGAAGTGAAAGATAGCCAAATAGGAACCAGTTTAAATTAATTTATAATGTGTACTATAAAGTGCAATATTTTTTTCTAACAATTTAAATGTGTTTGTTTTCAGCAAAGCAATGAAGCTATGGGCCTCACAGACTCTCAGATACTTGGCCAAATTTTAGCAAAAAGAATATGAAGGAGGAATTATAAATATATCTTATAAATGTCCTATAATGTTCTATATTCTTTTTATAATTTCAAAATATTGCTTTTAAAACAGAAGACAAGTGGTTTTAGTAAGAGTCAAAGAAGAAAGAGTGTAAGCAAATAATTTGTATACAAAGAAATTAAAGTCTTATATGCTGAAAATTACAGCGACCAGGCCACGAATCAGCCACAAGGAAGACTCTTATCAGAAGTGGATTTCACTGAGAACCATGACTTTTCCAAACTGCATGCTACTACAATGTCTAACAGTATTATGAAGAAGCACTTAGTGGGAAAAGTCATTCTGAGCTGCTTTATCCTTTTCAATGGGGAGAAGGGTCCATATGGTATGAAAAGTAGGGAAGGAAGGTAAGTGGTGTGTGGGTGGTTTGGTTGGGGGGATGTGCATGTGTGTAAAAGGAATCATTATACAATGATATATCCATCCTTGGATAGGAACTTGGATGTTAGAATTTCACATATGTATTAAAAATTAAAAGTAGCTGGGAAATAATACCTATATACCTCTCTACAGCTGCATTATAATTTTACATTAAGTTTTTGTCACTTTTTTCCTGTCTATGATAGTCTACCACGAAGATGTCTTAGTTTCCATTGCTCATTTAAGTTTTTAAAACTTACTTAACTTGAAGGGAATTTCTTCAGCTCTTCCTTATTTGGCCCTGCCAGGTGTTTAGCATTTCTCAGCCCTGACATTTTCCTATCAGTGACTCCAACATTCCCTTACATAAGTAATATTCTGTTTACCTTGGAGCTTTGCCTGATGAAAGACAGGCGGTCCACAGAGCTGATGTCCAGGAGGTCCTCCACACCATCTGCCAGGCCCGAGAGGGAGGATCGTTTCAGCCAGTTTCCTATTTAATAATTAAAAAAAAAATTAGACCAAGATAGCATTTTCTCCCAAATGGATTAAACAAAAAAGTCAGCATGTGCCCAACAAGCAGTGAAAGTTACATGGCTTGATGTAAATAAAAGTGAAAGCAAATTGTTTTCCAAATGTACATGCTTTGAATAAACATCTTCAGTGTTAGGCTATAAAATTACATGACTAAGATCAGGACAAAAAGAACCCATACCTTTGCACACTGTACTGCTACCTCCTGGGGTGCTCTCCTTTCCACTCCCCCTCAGTATCCTGAAGATCTTAATGCCACTTCCTTCAGGAAGCCTTCCCTGATTCCTACTCCCTCCCCCTATTTAGGTTCGGTCTTGCCGTTGCACGCTTTCAGAGCACTACATAAATTTCCTTCATAAAATTCATAGTTTGCAACTATAATTAGTTGTATGATTATCTGCTTTAGTGATTATCACTTCTAATAGATTATAAATTCAGCAAAGTCAAGCACTGTGTAATTTTGCTCACCATTTAATCCCTGAAGCCTAGCACAGTGTTTGCACATGATGGAAGTACACAGTAGGGGTTTGAGAAATATCAACTGAAAGATGAATGAATGAATGAATGAATGAATGAAGTCAGCCTAGCCTTTGTGATTTGAAAATTTTTCCTTCCATGTGTTGCTCTGTTTTGATTGTGAGTTGATTTGAGGATATGGCAGGGAATAAGAGAAACCATAAAATAAATACAGACATACTTTTACCTATGGGGAGTTTAAGCTTCTTCCGTAGGGAAATTCTGCGGGACCGTGAGCGGGCGCGCCGGTCAGAGGTGTTCCCTGAATGGGCAGTGGTGCATTCTGAAGTGTCCTGCTCAGACTGGCTGCTGGTGTCACTCGCTGCACTCTGAGATTTGAACATCTTGCGCCAGAAATCTTTCCGTCCTAGGTTGCCCCCTTGCATTTGTTCATCGCTGAAAATCAGGCAGATGATAGGGTTAGACGTCTGACAACACGTGAAATTCTCCTAGATTTCTTTCAACTGCCTGACAATGATATTTAGGCAAATCATGCAGGCTGATCTTTGATGGGCTGGGATTAGGAAGAGTCAGAGTGGGAGTGGAAGGAGGGAGACCAAAGTTGACTCTGCTTATTGAAAATAGTCATGTCTCAGCTGTCAAATTGAGGTGATCATTTTTTTCAACCATAATAAAAAGACTAAATATTATTGCAGGTAATTGCAAATATGAGTCATAATCACAGAAGCAGTTACCGTGTCAGTAAATATTTAACTTTTTTGAAGTTTCCTGAAGTACCGTAACTTACTCTCCACCCCAACCCTGCTCCCAACCCCATTCCCCACCTATAATTCTTGGCACTAAATAAACTTATAAAAATGCTTGAATAAATAAATAAAATGCAATCACCATACCCAGGGGATGCTTCATCCCACAATTTTTCACCAAGTTATTTTTATAGTTCCTGACTATTTAGCTTTCTTAAGTCAAAGACGCTTAAAATTTAAGAGTTACAAGAATTAGCCTGACTCAGTAAGACAAATGGGAACCTCTCCAAAGGGATTTCTGACTAGGGCATTCCACAAGAGGAAAAAGACAAGTGGCCAATAGCATGCAGAGTTTAATCTCACTAGGACTTAAAAAAAAAAAGCCAGTTGAAATGAGATCCCCATTTTCACTCATTAAGTAAAATTATTTAATGATTAAGAAAGATTAAGGGGAGAGGGAGAAAAAGCAATGGTACTATCACACTACCACGATGAGACAGAATGATTCAACCTTTCTGGAAGATACTTTGATAATATGTTATCCAAAGCCTATGTCTACACCTTCAACAGAGAAATTCAATTTCTAGGAAGTTAACCCAAGGAAACAATGGGACACTAAACTAACATGTAGATACAAGAAAGTCAAATGCTCACTGAGGTTTGTGGGTCAATGTTAAAAAAAAAAAAAACGGAAACAATCTAAATGTTCAACTCCAGGGAAACAGCTGAATAAATTGTAGGGCTTCCATATGATGGCATCCTCTGTAGTTATTAAAATCCTATTTTCAGAAGACTAGTGATTTGAGGTACGTTGATGATGTATTGCAAAGTTAAAAGGCAGTGATCAAATGGGTTAAACGGGATTAACACCAAGGTAATAAAAAGAAAAGTACACATGTAAGTGTGTCTCTGTGTGTGAGCTTGTGTGCACATATGTTCAAATATTCACTCAATATAATGTATCAAATCTGGAGTGGTTATCTGTATTTGAAGATATCTGGGTTTAAAAATTATTTTTCTCCATGTATAACTGAAAAATTGTGCTCTACACTGGAATTTGACACAACATTGTTAAATGACTATAATTCAATAAAAAGAAGTTTTTAAAAAATTATTCTTCTCCATGCTTTTCTGTGTTTTCCACGTGTCAGCTTGAACAACATATATACTTCAGTAATTTGGAAAGAAGAGGTTATAGAAAATACTCTAGTAACATAAGGTGAAATTTATTTTCGGGGATTCTAGGTAATGATTTGCTTATAAGCTTTGAAGTTAAACCTGGGATCTATCTAAAATTTGACAGTATTGTGTAATCATTTTCTGAAGATATTTATATGGAGATGCAGATTTTAGTACCAGAGTACTAAATACCTTCAATTATTATTTTAATTCAGGACACCGCTTATCAAATATGGTGTGAATTTAAATCAGTGTTTTAGACTTCTCCATTATTTTTATCAGATGATCACAGTGTATGAAGCTTTTCTTACCTTTGGGAAATGCAAGGCACAGTGATGAGTATAGGACTACGTGGTCTGAGAGGAGAAACGTCCAGGGAGGCTACAGTTGACCAGCTGTACAATAAAGTGCCACATCAGCTTTGTCCAGTGAGTGTGTATCAGTAACGAGTTTCAGAGAAATGGGCATATAAAACTGCTTTTAATACTACTCAGTTAATGTGATTTTTATTTAAGAGGGAAGAAGGAGAAGTGAAGGGAATGAAGGGGAGGGAAAGGCAAGAGAAAGAGAAACTAGAAGAGGAGCCAGGATTGCCCACCCACCTTTCCCCAGTGCTAAATAGAGGACACATGGCAGGCACATCCCCTGGGCCCACTCAGATTAGGGAAAAGTCCCACATTTGATATTCTGTGATAGCCCACCAAGTGGAGATTTTTATGTAGACGCATGTTAAAATATGTATCTTCATTCAAGGGAAAGAACAGGCACGTGCTAAATGCTGAGAAATGGGGTGGTATTTACAGAACACTGCAGAAAGAGAATATTTTGCAGTCTGGGAAACAGAATCAACTACCAAGGTGGGTGGTTTTATGTTTTAAATTCGATTTACCTATTAAACCATTCTCATTGTTCAGATTAGCTCAGGAGTTGTTAGTGTTATTTTGGGTGAAAAAAAGCCCCTCTCTCATATTTTGGACAGATTCTGTATCTAAGGACTTCTTACTAGTCTTGTCGTTGGTTATTCAGCTACAGACCTTTGCCTTTCACATTAATTTTTGTGTGTGTTTGTTTAGATTTTTATTATGTTCTTAAAGACTTAAAGGAAAAACTAAACTTCAATTTTGAGAATGGAAATTAAAGAAGACAAAGGCTTAATGGTAAAATTCGACAAGTCCATCCTTTCATTGATTGACTGTCATTCATTCATTCTTGAAATACATATTAAGTGCCTACTATGGGCCAATCCCCGTCTAAGAGTTAGAGCTGTAATGTAAGTAAAAACTCACTTGGTCCCTGGACCCATGGAGTTGATTTATCTTCTCTTTCCTTTTCTCTACCCATTTAGGGGCAGTTTCTAAGACTTTGAAGGGCTACAAGAATTGTGCAGACATTTTTCTTTGGAGGTTTTGTTGCTTGTTGTAGATTACCAAGGTTCTATTTGATGACTGATGTCCTTGACTACAGAGAGGGGATACCATAAAACCTAGAATACTCTGCAGGATTTCTAGAAGGATAATCACAATACAAGATCAGGGTTTTGGGAAGTAAAACGGTATACTTAAAATGATGTTCATATTTTAAATATTGATTGTACCTGTGGGCAAATAGTTATCAAAAGAAGAATGAATACAAATGAGCCTTGCGTAGAACTAGACTATATATTTAGAGTCTACAGTAATCCTCACATTTTCTGGGGGCACTATTATCAAGATGCTTTTGATTTTGCTATTATGAAAAATGGAGATAAACTGATGTCAGAGGACTTTGGAATGAATCTCAGGAGAGGACCCAGGTGAAATGGAGTAGAGCCCAGCTAAAGCTGGACATGGGAAAAATTATCTTAGTTATTTTTGGAAAAGTTTCATTGATTACATTGACAAGTTGCAAGTGATTTTAAGCAAGAAAGTGGATGACACCCCCACCCCACCTACCACACATGCTATTTTTCAAGATTTATCTGCAGGATTGTGCATGAAAGGCGGAAGAGGAGGGGAAACTGGAAATAGGAAAGGCAGTGAGGGAGACTTCCTGTAAGCACAAGGTTGGCTATTTATGGTTTGGGCCTGTAGAGGTGAGTGGCTTTGGGAATGAAAAGTAAAGGGCAGAAGCAAGGAGAAGTTCAACAGAAATGAAAAACAAACAGCACCCTGGAAAATAGAATTTCTTCCAGTGGGAAGTGCTCAGCCCACTGCACTGGAGACAAAACCAATGCTACTTACTGCTCTGGAGTCTGGGAGGGGCGACCGGACATGAAGCTGCGACATTCCTCAGGTGCAGGGGTCACCTGGCCTTTATCCACAATGCTTCCTGCCTCCGACCTACGCAAATGGTGCATTCCACCAGTCACAACAGAGCAGTCCACCACCTCTCAATACTTCATACACTTCATAAGGGAAAACACTCTGTTCCAGACAACCTAGATGGCTTGCAAACCCTATACCACCATGAGTCTATGTTGGGATGGAATTTACATCTTACCATTTGACTCAGAAACTAGCTACATTATTGCAGACAGTCACTAGCTGCAGGCAGGATTTTGAGTTTAGGAGTTTCTTTTCATCATTGTAAGTGGCATTTCTTATAGAATGGGCATACAATAAACTCATTCACTAGAAGAAAAAATAATTGGACACTGCTCAGCAATTTGTCTTTGTCATGTTAAAATATTACTTACTGAACAGGATGATAGGGTACCAGTAATTGATTTTCCTTTCCGGGCAAGAATGTAAGTTATCTAGAGAAGGGTCAAAACACAGGTAACATTTTCCCATATAATTAAGAGCTATGAAGTGAGGTTCAAGTGTATAAAAGTTTGAAATCAACTGAGCTTGGATTCATACAGAGGCAGAATTTATTTGATAGCAAACTCATTCCTTTTCTAAGCTGCAGCTGAGCCACCACCAGCAATACTGCTTATACAAGAGAGTTGCACCATCCCTGCACTGGAGTTACACACCATGTTGGGAACTCCACGGACAGTGCAACAGAAGATTATATTATACAGACACAGGCAAACCCTAATATTCAGAAAGCTCAAGCTTCCAACCTTTTACCGCCTACAGGCTTAGATTCCACTTCATTCTCCTCCACCTTCTTCCCTGGTGCCAACTTCTCGGCACTGTCAAGCAGAGCACTGAGGGCCACTCTCCTGAAGACATTCCCATGTGCCTCTTTGATGAACTGGACCAGCTGACGGATATCACAATACAGTCCCTGTTTGGAAGCAAGATGGAAAGTGTGGGAAAAGGAAGATCGTTATGTGATTAAATAGTTTTCACAGGAAGAAGGGGAGAAGATAATTCCTTGGACTTAGATAGGCATTGGAATCGTAAAAAGAAGACAAAGTACTACAGTGAAACTGATGGTATCCTGCCCCTCTGTACCTATGGTAACATTACCAAGACCCTTGCCTGTCATCCTCAGTATCAAAAAGAATGGTTACCAAGCTTCATATTCAGAAAGTTGGCTGTATCATTAGATAGATATTAATTTACACTTTTAACCACTGAATTCCCAAGTTTTTAATTCTCTTTCTTAACTGTGACTTCTAAAGAGATGCCTGCAAAAAAAAAAAAAAGGCAATTAGACTAGAGATTTCGGTTGCTGTTGAGCTTCTCCACAATTTCTCTATCTTTGTGATAAAATATGCTAACTCCTCTAGACATTCCTAACAGAGCCTGATATTCAAGGATGATGCATTTTGCTGCACAGATTTAACAAATAATATGTATGTTGGAGCCCACTTGAACATGAACTTGACTATGGACTTAAAATGATACAGGGCTATTAAAACAGTTATATTGGTGATTCAACATTTAATAATATATGCAGGACTTTTTAAAAAGATATTAAACTTTTCACTCAGCATATTCTCTCTTTCTCTTCTCTTCTCTCTTTAAGAAGGCAGATACTATATTCTTTGTCTTAAAAAAGTTCATGACAAAGCAGAACATAGAAACCTAAGAAACATTTACCTTACAGCTTTGGGTTTCAAAACTGAAGACCACAGAGACAATTATGCCCATGACCTTCAGAAAAGCAGAAGGAAGGGTCAGTAAGGAAAACACAGAGAGTGTCCTTTGGGTCCTGTGGGAAGCAAGGCCCTATGCCCTCACTCTGCTCTTCAGTAGCTCCTCCGTGGAAGGCAAGGCCACAAAAAGCAAGGGTTCCAAACGCACCGGAGTGTCCATCCCTCAGCAGCAGAGAGTATTACATGAACTAACATGTGTGGGCTGATGACTGAAACCCGTGCAGCCTCACCAGGCCCTGGGTCCTACCTAAGACTTGGGGATCTTTGCATCACTCTGTGAAGTAGGGGAGACCCAAGAATGACTGAGCTTCAACCTCCAGCCATTCTGGTGGAATGGGGGTTCAAAGTCAAATTTAAGTTGATTTAAAGAAAACTAAGAAATAAATTATTTCTTCTATACATGAATTTGTAGGCTAAGACTTGCATGAGCTCGTGTATACTATAATCAACTTGTCAAATTACTTCCTGCCAGGAGCAAACTGAACCCAAGGATGGTACTCAAGTTATTCTCAAGCTCCAAGAACCTTGCTGGGATGGCTTCAACAATTAGCAAAATTACATTCCTTTCAGTTTGGGGGTTTGTTCTGTTTATCTCAAGTTAAGTGAATACATAGTTTCTTTGGTTTAGAATAGCTTAAAATAATTTCTCTGACTTAAGTAGCTTGGCAGATAGTGGCCATATGTGTAAATGGGCTGATTTCTGCATAGGACTCATAATATCTAACAGAGTGGTAAGACAGGGAAATGTTGCTTTACTCACTGAAGAGATCTGAATTCATCTAGTCATGTCAGATGTATCAGTCTCAATTTATGTTTTAGTATCCCAAACCACAATCTCCTTGGTAGCAATTAAGCGCTAACTTTTTACAGGCTGGCTCTCTCTGCTTGTGGCTTCAGTGGTTTAATTAACATAATCTTTTGAGAAGAGTAGCTAAAAAAGTACATTGTTCAATTTAAAAAAGACAAAATCAATTTTAGCAGCATATTTGCATTAATTTTTAAAGTAAGTATGGTTTTAGAAAAAAAGCTTGGCATAACATCCTTTACTATTTCATGAGCCAACAGGCTGGGCTCTATAGCACCTTCTTTCTGAAAGGCTCAAAGAACCCTGGAGCTATTTTTACCAATGACCACAAAACCTCTGAGATGGAAGACATGAGCCAATCTGCAGGTGACATAACAAGTAACAGGGAGGAGAAACGTGTTGCTGAGTTTCCACTGTTACTGGTGACACTGGGAAAATTGATATTTTAACTTTAAAGTTTTAGACTTCAACTTGTCCTTCTCCGGGCCATGGAATGAGAGCAAGAACTCCTGTGGGAAGAAGAGGGGAGCTTCTCACCAGATTCTCAGGGCTGTGCAATTCATGTGTCGTTGAAGCGCAGCGTGTGATGAGGGATTTAAACATGGCGTTGACAATAATGCCTTCCACATTTTGGGCTGTGGATTTGTTGTCCACTGTGGTGAAGTTGTTTCCAAACCCAGCCTTGTCTGGAATGCAAAGGCATCAATGAAAGGCAGTATTTCCATTCAGCTGCACAGTTTAAAGTACCGGTCACTCAGGAATTAGTGAAGGGCCACACAAAATACAGAAGCAGAGGATACAGAACCAGATACCCCTGGTTTGATCATCTCTACGAAGACTTGGAGATAACTCATTGTCTCCATCAGAGTCTTTACTATGACATATTTCATCACTTTGTGGAGTGTTTTAATTGATACATCTTAGCAACAAAAAGAGAATCAACTGTTGACCCTAAGAAAGTCTTTTAAACCTAAGTAGTTTTTAAATAGGTGATCACTTAAAAAAAAAAAAGATCTACTAAGTGGCCTCTCAGTGGAGACAGACTTAATTTGATACAACCTTTTCGGTGGTGAAGAATGATGATTTCTTAGCGCAAATTCTTCAGTCTGTGGGAAGTGGAATAAGGTGGGGTGGACCAGGTGAGCTGGGCAGTGGGAGGGAAGAGATGGGGAGGGACCCTGCAGGGGAATTCACACCAGCACCACCAGAAATAAAAAGAAGACTGAGTCTGGCCAAGAGCTGCACAGGACTTCCAGCAGCTTCTTGCTTCCAGAGACTCCACGGGCATATGGATAGGAAAAAATCTACAATTCCCTTGGAGCTACTACCTTCTAACTCATCCACACGTGAAATGCCAGTGAATTGAGGTCATCACCCTATGTGGCATTTTATACAAGTTTTTCACATTTCAACAGGTACATTAGGTATTCTGTGGCCTCGCCAGAGTATTTCTCATAGCTTGTGAGCCACCTGTAGACTGTAGAGGTGGAGTATGTGCAGCTCCAAGACTGATCAGTCAGGGACATGTGTGCCTGCCTGGCTGATACACTGTGAACCACTTTAACTTCTCAAGAATCCCAGGAGGAATTCATCACTTTAAAGTAACATACTTTGTATAAGTATGACTCAATCACTATGTTGTACACCAGAAAATAACACAACATTGTAAATCAACTATACTTCAATAATAAAAGGAAGAAGGAGGAGGAGGAGGAGAAGGAGAAGAAGAAGAAGAAGAGGAAGAGGGGTAAGATGAGGAGAAGGAAGAAGGAGAAGAGGAAGGAGAAGAGGAAGGAGAAGGGGAAGAAGACAACGACGACGACGATGACGAAGAAGGAGGAAACATACTTTATTACCAACCTCTTACTGTCTGTTTCAGTGGGTCAGAGGTTATCTTTAGATTTAACGTTACAGAAAGAAATCTTTTAGCCTATGTTCATAGTTTCTATATCAAACAGGTTAAAAAAGAGAAAGAAATAATTTGTAATAAAAAATTGCTCTTGCAGCATCTCAACTACATGCTTACTTACTTCATTGTTTTTTAAATTTGCTATATGCTTGGCTGAAAACAGCTTTAATAACATAGATTATTTCAGGGATTCTAGAGGGGGACAATAAAGCCTGGGATACAAACGAAAAGCTGTTTCTAAATCCATGAAATAAGTCTCCATTAAAAATTTATTTTATTTATTATTATTATTTTTTAATGGAGGTACTAGGGATTGAACCCTGCACCTCATGCATGCTAAGCATGCCCTCTACCACTGAGCTATACCTTCCCCCCTCCATTAAAAATTAATCAACTACTATCACACATATACTAAATAAATAATAAACACCTATACAAAGAAGTTATTTTATCCCAGACTCTTAACAAAAATACATATTTTACTTAACTCAGGCTTCAGGCATCAGCTTCATTTCATTACTGCATTTGCATTCAAGTGATATTGAAGGTGATAATTTATTGTGGATGTAATTTGTGTTCACTGGTCTCCCCCTATAATATAAGTCTTTACACTAGAGTCTTCCTAAAGCCATAAAAGCTAAAAAGCTATAAAACAGTTTATGAGCCGATCTCTAGATCCCTTTGCCCAATTAAAAAAAATTCAGTACATGTGTATGTGTGTGTATATATATATATATCAATCAAAATTATATTACTACTATGTTTAGTCTATTTTTTCCCTTTCCTGTTTTATTTTGTGAAAAAAACCACCAAGCATGATTTCTGGCTCATAAAAGGTCCTCATATTTGTTGAACTAATAAGCATATTCCCTTGTTCCTTCATCTCTGCCTCAGTAGTCGTACAGAGGTCACGTGACAGAGAGGAGTGTAAGGACCAAGGGGCTGCAGGTGAGGATGCCAGAGCTTTACCAAATTCCCCTCTGCTGAGCTAAGCTGTCCTTAGAAAGACTCCAAAATGTGTCATCAAAGATGGTGTGCAAGCTTTTCATGTTTATATTTTATTACACACAAGTGCACACACAAACACAGAAATAGCTTTTCCTCTCAACTTTATCTCCATAAATTTCGGGTGTCTCTGAAACGCTACCTGCTTCACTTCTCACAGCAACTCCTCCTAGAACTCAGTGCAGTTTTACTTACTGTCAGTGACTGGTTCCATACAAAATCCTAGCAAAGCATGCAAGAAGTCCACTACGTTATTGAGAGAGTCCTTGTTCACATAGTCCCTCATGGTTTGTCGGAACTGCATCTTATCTAGCTTGTATAACTTAGTGAGGCAGTTCTGGGCCTGCAAGGAAGGAAGAAAAGTGAAGAAGTCACAGGTACCAGCTTAGGCTAGGGATACCACTGTTCTGAGACCAAAGCCTTCAGAAGACAAAGGCTTCAGTCTATCCCTGCCGACTGGTGCCTGCCACCCCTGCCAGCCCCTCTTATCTGAGGATGAAGTAGCAGAGGGGGCTGAGCAGTATGAGGGAGATTACTTTGAGAAGGGCTGTTCCTCAGGAAAAACCCAAAGCTAAGGTCTAACACTGTCCCAGAATTAGCTCAGTATTTTCGCCAAGATCAAGATTTTAAGACCTCAATGAAAAAACTCCAAGTGTAAAATTTAGGTAGGTGACAGGACTGGTTAACAAAGTTTAGAAAACCTCAAAGGCTCTGTGTCAAGGGAAGAAGCAAGCCACTCCCTTGCTCGGCTATTCTGAATTGAAGTAGATTTTATGGGTGTTTTGGGGAGTATGTAGGAGGTGCTTATCCGGAGTCCTCTTACGTGGCCAGGAGGGAAAGACTCTTGAAACGTGAAAGAGGTATAAAATAAAGGTAAGTCTAGCTTGTTTATTTATGTGTCTGCATTTGAACGTGGAAGTTTGGTATTTAAGTAGAAGTTGGCCTTAAGAATATGAAAAACAATTGACCATTGTCTAGGCCCTGATACTCAAAAATATACTACTTAGGATCCACCAAATAATTTTGCCATCTTGTAACCAGATAGGGTAGGGGGTCCCTGGAGAAAGAGAGCTAGGCATGGCTTTCTTGACCTAAGAGAAGTCATTTTTGGCCTAAGCCATTCTGTGATTTAAGCCTGGCCACAAAGCTTGCCCTGGAATAGGCCTCAGTAATTAATGACCTTAAGGGAACAAAAGAATGCAGAAACAAAGGACTGTTACTAGGCAAGAGAAGTAACAATAGGAAAGATAGTATATCAGTTGTAAAGACTCCCCGTTTGGTTTGATAGCAAAGATTAGCCTGAAGCGCTCACCACCAGATCATCAGGAACCTGAGTGATGATGACGTTGAGCTTTACTGACCCTCATGACTTCAATCAACTAAAGTTTGAACTCTGTCCACCGCCCAAGCCCTTTCATGAATACGCATGTACCTTTAGTTTAAAACTTCCCTAATTTTGCTGTTGGGGAGACACTGCTTTGGGAAAGATCCCCAGCGTTCTCCTGACTTGCTACAAGTAATAAATCCTTCTGTTTCCTGTGCTTTGGCTTGGTTGTATCTTTTGGCTCCATACCTACCAAAAGGAAAACCCAGTTTTCGGGAAACAATCTGGCAAAGAGAAAGGGAATAATCCCCCCCACCAGAACAAATAAAATCACAGTCATTGACTGCAGATGGCCGCATACAAAATGCCCTGATACTGTTAGGGAGGCTCGGGGGTCCTCTCTTACCACTGAGAGAAAATAAAATTTGTGTAGTGCTTTGCTGTTTAAAACATATTTTTTGTGTGTAAGTGCATAGCAACATTCAACATCCACACCTCTGTGATTTGAAGAGTATCCTTCTATCAATGGAGGAAACTGAGGCTCAAAGACGTTAAGGACTTTGTCCAAGTTGATACACCACATTTCACAGCAGAGCCAAAAGTAGAAGTCAAGGTCTTGCTTTCTCACAGTGGTTATTTCTCCTATGATAGGGTCTATTAATGTTTGCTGTGGAAAATGTATTTAGAGACCATCCACTTCCAAAAAGGATTTAAGATGGCAGATACTAGAGATTAGTTGGTATGTACAGAAGATAAGATCTGCCTAAAAAAGAAAATCCTTAACAATGGAATGAACTGGGGAAATGATAAGAGAGGACTCTAGATTGAGGGGTAAAAAGCAAAAGATCAAGAAGGGCGAAGTGGCTGGATGAGGACAATCTTAACCAAGGAATTTGGGGCAACCAGGTATAAGCATGGGAGTCAGGTCAGGGAAAGCAATCCCTGAGAACTGGGATCTTATTGGTGAGTCCTTACTGGTGGCCCAGAAGAAAACTTAAATTATATCACCATTTTGACAAGTTAAAGCCCAGAGAAAGAGTCTTAGGAATTTTGAGAGGAAGAGAAAGATTATAAAAGTCTGAAACTTGTAATGAGCAATGGACTTCTCGGTGTGACCTTGCTTTAGTCTCTCCATCTGTATCACAGTCAGGTGGACTGATTTTTTTTTTTCCCTCATTTTCCCTTCACTGGGTCCTGGAAGATTGGGAAATTAGTTGTTTTTATTCCAGAGAGGTTTCTGGTTGCTATGTTTCAAGCAAGCTTCCCCCTCCCCTTATAAAATAAATGCTACTTGCTATAAAACGAAGTTTGTAAAGTACTTCTTCTTCTCTATAAAATACACCAAAAAGGCAGAGTTTCAGATCTACTCTTTAGAGGCTATTAGAATGTCTGAATGAGTTCAATGGGAAGTTTAAGCAAGAAGCAGAAAATCAAACCATAAGTATTTTGATTCTGAATGAATATTATAAACTTCTCCAAGAGATATAAAGAGAGAATTCCTTTCAGTAATTTGGGACTACCAGCTAATGATTAGTTTATTCTAAGAAACACATGCCGGTATTGCTAGGCACTTTGATGAATATCATTACAATAAATAATAATTGATTTCTAAAAAAAAAATAAAAGTACAGAGTACCTGATCTGATGGAGGTAAGAAATATTCTTAGTATTTTAAAAAGTGAAGTCATTTCTGAAAATTCAATGCCAGAGAAATCTGGAAACATCTAGCTTCTTGAATTAGACTTTCCCAGGGAAAACTTCTCAAATTTATACCTCTTGGACAATGCGTCTACTAAGCATGGATAAGTAAATATAGTCCCTATAATGAGTGCTAAACTGGGCTATTGGAAATGGAGGTATTGCCATGTAAAGCAACAAAGTTGAGAAGGCAGGTAGAAAACTGGATGTTCTGAGAGAGTAATGTTCAGTACTCTTGAGAGAAGAGAGCATGGTGACAAAGCAGTAGCAACAGCCCCTCAAGTGGCTTCTGATCCAATTAGCCCTACTTTCTCCAAGTCTAGAAAGACAAATTCTGATGTCAGAGCCAGTTTATACCTCCAGCTAAAGCATGACACTTCTTTTTATATTGTGATGTTTCATTTCATGGAATCAGTCTTCTGCATGAGGAGTGATGTGGTTTTAGCCTTGAAGGGAATTATTCATACTGTGCTAGAATTAAAAATCAAAGGTCAAAAATCACATGCACAAGTGCAAAGATGGAGGCAACATCAGCTTTTATTGCCTTACTCATGATTATTTTGATTATTTAAAATTTTTGGCCTCAAAATCTAGATCTTGGCCAAAATGTCAAGTTTCAGAATTTAGATGTTAATTACTGTGAATATAACCCCCATATATATAATAAACAAATATAATACAATATAACAGAATACAAAAGAGTGAGTGATATATAGATAGGTAGGTAGATGACAGATTAAGAAAGAAACACAACATGCTAATACCGTGTGAACATTTCATGACAAAACCTAATACCAAGGAAAAACAGGCTGGGGTTAGGTTTTGACATGATCCTAAAACTCTGCTAAGATATGTCAAAGGGCTTCCTGGCCTTAAATTTGCATCAAACCCTTACTTTTAAGAAAATATTTTCTTATGATTTCAGTTCAAATGTATGCATGAGGCAACTGTTCCAGCTCGGACTTGTTGTGGGGGTGGGTTATTGCTCAGGTTTGTAGGGAAAAGCAGTCGGGAGTGGAGGCATATGAAAATGAGCTGGAATTACATTTCCATGTTCCATCACAGAATTAGGGAAAGTGCAGAGTTTCAAGTTTCACACAGTTCAAAGGGATATGATCTCAAATAGTTAGTAGTTAAGGTTCATTGTCAAACAAAGCAGCCAGAAAATGACTGGCTACTTTTGCAGTCCTGTTTTGTCCCAATAAGGGCCATTTTCCATATCTAAAAACAACAAACTAAGTCCTAAAATTTGATCCCTTTTTCTAATATAAGATATGCTTCTATAGTACCCCAGACAGGTGATTAAAACGTCATCTGTCACAGACCATCAGAAGCTTGCTAAATGCACTCATCTTTGCAATGTTCTTTCAAACTACAATTCACATGTTCCAATTATACACCCTTTTACCAACTGGGCGTTGGCCTGCCCTGAGCAGGAGGTAGAAGTGTTTTCCCAATTAAATTTTCCTAGGCCTGGGTTTTAGATATCTTGAGATATTTGTGGGAATCCTCCCACCTTATGATGCATTAAGTACCCCTATAAAATACAATATTTCTCCAGGAACACTGACCCTCATTGTCAAAGGACTCATTCCTAATTTGGAGGGAGGGAAGAGGAAATGGAATCTACTTTAATTCTCTTACATTCTCCCGGAATACCTGGTGTCTCAGACGATCCCCAGAGAGCCCTCGGTGTCCTTCTCCGCAACCATAGGCACATCCCAAAGACTTCACTATTTTGATGAGCATGGTTAGGGCAAGCCTATGGTTGCTTACAGGTGTACTTTCATCCTAGTACCCACAAACGAGAAACAAAGAGGATTCTGTTTACTTAAGTCACTAAGGTTCTTTTGCTACTAAGATTCTATTTTATTATTAAACCAAGTACATATGTTGTAGAGTGAGCCCCTGCAATTTGGGAAGGAGAACTGTCAAGGGTCCAAAAAGCAACCAAACTTTTCAAAAATCTAGAATGAGACTTCCAAGAAAGAAAAACATTTATGCATTCTGAACACCCTCGGGTGCTAAAGGATACGAACATAGTCGTCTTTATTAGAAGACATGCTTTCACATCCTTGACAGACTATCAAAATAACTGCCTAGAAAGAGGCAGGGCAGACTATCGGTGATGAAGGCAAATGGCTTTTTCCGGAAACTATCCTCATCAGCAGGCTTCTGATGATACCACCAGGCAACGATTACTGTTAAATTTCTGGAACTGATCCAAGTCAGAAACTTTGAAATTTCTGACATTTTCAAAAGATTTTTCTAATTTTACACTTTCACTATATTGTAATACTCATGCAGCAGCAAGGTGAGAACATTAAAAAAAAAAACTTGTAAATATTAAGCACGATTCTTCCTTTGAGGCTAAACAGGAAGCCTCCTGAGATGAATTATGAAAACTGCTACCATCCTCTCTCTTGCCTCATTTAATCCTTGGTCTTCGTGGAGAACACAGCTTCCAGAAAAATGAGCTTCCCTGAATTATTTCCAAAGAAGAAGGAAGCTGTTGCTAAGGAATGACGCAGATCCCAGTGTGGAAGTCCTACTACCTTCGAGAAGCTTCAGCCTTCCTCAGTCCTTCTAGCTACTTTCCGCACAGGCACCATGGACCTGAGATTCCAGCTGTTCCTTAATTGCACATGATGTTAGATAAATTAACTAATCTCTTTATGCTTTCATTTTCTCACCTGTGAACTGAGGTGCCTAATAGCTTCCCTTCTTTCTTTATCGATTTACAGTGCCAAACAAATGAAATAATGAGTAAGAATTGCTCTGTAAATTGTGAGGGGCTTTTCCATGCTCAGATAGATACACAAACTTTGGGGCTACCCACATAGAAAGAGTATCCAGATGTGGGTAGGGCGTGAAAGGGACGGGAGTTATCTAGACATTGTGTACTGTTCACTATGTGATGGGGTAGGCTCTCTGCTCCCCTAATGTTATGTAATTGGTCCTCCTTTTCTAACCAAAAGCGCATGTAGTGGATGTAATGCTGGACTCCAGAGATGCCCTCTTTAGAACTGAATATTCATTCCCTGAGCTGCTAGAAGTACTGATGGCTGATAGCTCTTGGCTGATAGTTCTCTCCAGGCATGGCCCTTACCTCAAGAAACCTGACTCGCCCCAGGGTATGCTCTCTTCCTGGAAACACTCTGCCTCCAATGGCAGGTCAAGGGCATAAAAAGGATGGGGGGGGGCGTGGTATAAAGGTGGGCTCCCTTACTTTACCTGGGGATTTCTCTGAAGAGACAACCCAGCTCTGGAGCTCCCCATGTGATGGACTGAAGTTTCTGTTACAACGACATTGCAGTTAGACTTCTCTGCCCCTTTTATACCTCGCAGATACTGATCCTGAGTGGACACCCTAGGAAACCTCCTGCCACACCTCTCCTGGCTGAGTCTGTTTCTTGGGAATTTGACAGCTCTGATGGTTGAAAATTGAAGACTCGAACATACATACA